CCAAGTCATGCGCGTTCGCTCCAGCTCACGGGAGACATTTTATTTTACGCGTTTAACATGGAATAGATATACACATCACGCTGCCGATTTATCTTCACAGTGTGATGTCCTCTTCCCCCCCCCACCCCAATGCGTGCAGTTACTCATATAAAGTCCTTAGATATTAATTTTATATTATTAAAGCGGTTACATAGTATTATTATGGCGAGGGCGGGGGGATGGTGGGGGGGGCGGGGGTAGCGGCCCAGCTCGCAGCCTGGCAATGTCTCACCTCCGGCTTGCCAATCTAGGTGAGGCCGCGGGCTCTGCACGGGACGAGGCGTCACCACGCCAATGTAAAGTACAATTTTATTCAATCTTTCGCTAAAAACTCAGCTTTATTGTTTACTATTATTAAACAAATACGTTTACAAACATTACAATGATAATGTTTGTGTGCACATAACAACTCTGCTTCATTCTTTACTATTATTAAACTAATAAGTTGCCTAATACTCTATTACTATTATAATGTTCGTGTGCATAAACTAGATGCGTGTGCCTAAAGTCGATGTCTGTGTGTGTGAGTCCATGTGTTTGTGTGCGTGTAAGTCGATGGGTTTCTATGTGTGTGGGTCCATGTGTGTATCTGTCTTTTTCAAATGGACAACGCCCCGTGTGTGTGTACGTACAAGTGTTTGTGTGTGTCAGTCCATTTGTGTGCGTATCTGTCGCTGTGTGTGTGTTAGTCCACATGTGTGTGTTAGTTCATACGTCTGTGTTTCACTCGATGTGTGTACGTCAATGCGTGTGTGTGAGTCGATGTGTGTGCATGCCTCCATCTGAGTGTGTAAGTCAATGTGCGTTTGTGTGTCTATGTGTCGATGTGTGTTTGTTAATCCATGTGTGTGTATCTAAAGTAGATGTCTGTGTGTCACAGTCCTTATGTCTATGTGTGTGTAGGGCAATGTGTGTCAGTCTATGTATGTGTGTGTAAGTCCATGTGTTTGTGTGTGTGAGTCGATGTCTGTGTGTGTCAGTCCATGGCTGTCTGTGATAGTCGCTTTGTGTGCATGGCTCCATGTCAGTCAGTGTAAGTCCATTTCTTTGCGTGTCTGTAGCTCCATGTGTGCATGTGAGTGAGTGAATGTATGTGCTTTATTGACCTGCTCAAGGCCTATGATACCATCAGTAGGCCTGGCCTCTTGGGTTGTTCTTCATGCTTTCGGAGTCCCTCAAACTTTGCTCATGATCCTTAAGGACCTTCATGATGGTGAGCGGCCCCGCGTAAAACTACATGGCCGTCAGTCAGAGCCATTCCCTCTACACCTTAGGGTGTAACAGGGATGTCCTCTGGCTCCACATTATTTAACATCTTTTGACCACGTAGTTCGTGAAGCCTTCAATGGCTGTTCCCGAGGAATTACCATATGGTACAGATACAATGGGAGGCTGATCGATGCCCGGGTGCGGTCAAGGGATGCCTCCCTATTGCTCAACCATGTTATGTATGCCGATGCTCTGGTGATTGCTGCTCACTGCGGTTGAACCTGGAGCTTGCCACTAAGAGGTGGAGCCTTACTATCAGCCCCACCAAAACTAAGCACCTGCCTGGGTATTTTGTACCATCGAACAATCCACCCCCACAACTCACAATTGCTGATGCGGTAGTTGTGGAGAGATTGCCGAGATTCCCATACCTGGCCAATGTGCTCATGACCGGCTCCGGTTTAACAGCAGAGGTCTCACTCCAAATCAGTCGAGCGCCATTATCTTTTCATCGGCTGTGTTACGCTGTGTGGAAGCTACCTGGTCTTTCGCTCCATGAAGCTCCAGGTCTTCTCGGGCACGGTAATTCCCTCCCTTCTCTACACTTGCGAAACGTGCACCCCCCTAATGGAACATCTTCACCGGTTAGAAACATTTAGGTTGGTCTGCTAACGATCCTTTCCTGGATTTAACCATATGTGTGTGTGCGTCTAAGTTTATGTGTTTCTATGTGTGTGGGTCAATGTCTGTGTGTAAGTCCATGTGTGTATCTTCCTTTTTTGCCCGAGCAACGCCGGGTACTTACCGCTAGTTCACTATACAATTACGATACTATATATTGCCTTATACATTGTATTAAGGCGCCCTTCACCCCTTCCAACCAAGCTTAAATATACGCTCCAAGCGTGGTGATGTTTCATTTTGCTTCCTCTTAGTATCTTTCACTCGATGGTCAATGGTATAGTGTATAGCAGATTGTATAATAATAAATAGTATAACATTGTAATGTTTAATACAATGTTTAAGGCAATATATAGTATCGTAATTGTATAGTGAATATACAGCAGTGTGATATACAGAAGGGTTGATAGAATAATACAGTTTACACAGTAGAGGGCACAAGTGGTGCATCAGCCAGTCGTCTCAGTCAGTCGACATGTGGCATCGGGGTCTGCCCCATCACCTCCTGCCAGCAGGCGTTCGACACTTCACGTGGACTCAAGGTGCACATAGCTTGGCACAAGCGTCGTGGTGACGTCACCGCCACTTAGTGGCGAATGGCGGTTGTTGTTAGTCCATGTGTGTGTAAGTCCATATATGCGTGTGTATCTAAAGTCCATGTCTGTGTGTGTGAGTCCATGTGTATGTGTGTGTAGGCCAACATGTGTGTGAGTCTCTGTATGTGTGTGTGAGTCGATGTGTAAGTCCATGTGTGTGTCTTAGTCGATATGTGTGTCTAAGTCCATATGTGTGCTTAGGTCGATGTGTGTGTGAGAGTCTACGTATGTGTGTGTGCGCGAGTCACTGTATGTGCATGTCGATTTGTGTGTGTAACTCCATGTGTGTGTATCTAAAGTGGATGTCTGTGTGTGTGTGAGTCCATGTGTGTGTGTAAGTCGATGTCTTTGTGTGTGTGTGGGTCAATGTCTGTGTGTGTAGGTCGATGTGTGTGTCTGTCTTTTTCATCCGGGTAACGCCAGGTACTTACCGCTAGTATTATATATTATTCATTATAACGCAATTTTTCCATAACGCAGTGCTCTTCAGGAATGCAACTACTCCTGCCACGTTATAAAAGAACAGACTGTATACACGCGCCAGGGAAGGGATGGAACCCACGACCTCCTTCATACCAGACGAGAGAGATCACATCTAAATACCATTGAGCCCTATTGGAATCTTGCACAGCAACGATCGCCTCCCACCTGGCAATCCAATGCTGTCCGTTTGCAGGCCAGTTGCTGGGTCTCCTTTTACCACAAGGATAGCTGCTACGAGGGGTCCCCTTTCAAATGTATTTAGATGGGTGCCTTGGTGGCTAGATGTTCACTACCTCGCCTGGCATACAGGACGTCGTTGTTCGATCCCAACCCTGATGGCTGCTATATATTTAGAGTTTGCGTGTCTCTCCCTCCCTGTGGTCTCATGGATTTTTCTCCGAGTCCTCCGGTTTTTCCCTCCACATTTAGAATCAACATCACGCGTTTAGAGTATTTGGCTGCTATAAATGTCCATGTGATGATGATAACACTATGTAACCCAATTTTTGTTCCTGGGTAGTAAGTGTTATTTTGTAATTGCTTATGCCTAAAAGTATAGAAAATGGCTATTATTCCCCAAAAACTTTGCTTTTGTGACCAGGACAGTGATATTTTGAAATCTACCTATTTTCAATGAGAAGATGGGCAAATTTGAGTATTTTCGTTCACATAAAGTAATTTATCAAGATGAGAAACAAGGATATGGACTTTGAGGGACATTCTACAGCCCATTGTGTTTTAGTTCTTCACCAGCCTCAACCAGCTCCACAGTTTTCGACCTTGTGATTGCACAGGAAGCCACGAACCACTGCAACAAAGCGGTTCCAAACCGCTTTCTCCTTACTAGTGAGCATCTTGGGCAATTCATTGCACTCCAGGATCTTCTTTATCTGTGGTCCGACAAAGACACCGGTATTGACCCTTGCCTCAGACAGTTTATGGAAGAAGTACTTGAAGGCTGCAGACTCCTTATCTACAGCTCTGACAAATTGTTTCATAAGGCCCAATTTGATGTGCAGTGGTGGCATCAACACCTTCTGGGGGTCCTCCAGTGGCTCCTACTTGACGTTGTTCCTCCCCACAGAGAACTCGGTCCGCTGTGGCCAGTCCCGCCTGTGGTAGTGCGCCTTGGTGTCTAAATCTTTTGTAGTATTTTTTTTATTACTGTAGTATAAATACATGTTAATTTTGATTCATATGTTGTTTTTGTCTGACTTTATGTGAACGAAAAGACACAATTTTGCCCATTTTCTCATTGAAAATAGGTAAATTTCAAAATATCACTGTTCTGGTCACAAAAGCAAAGTTTGTTGGGAATAATAGCCATTTTCTGTACTTTTGAGGCATAAGCAATTAGGAAATAACACTTACTACCCAGGAACAAAAACATTGTTACACAGTGTAATAAGCCACTTCTTTGAACTATCATTTGTAGCCAGGTCGCTTCTGAGAAAGAACCACATAAATAAAAGTAGCTGAGTATCTAATAGTTTAGAGATGTAAATTGCTCTAGGATGTGAAGAAGGCCACTCTTTCAAACACAACTGCTGATGATTTGTGTGTTCTCCCGCTGGCCTGCAGAGTGTGACAGCGTGAGTCCGTGTGTGAGTGTGCGTGTGGGGAGAGGTAGTGAAGTGGTTTGCACAATTTGCTACAAACCTGGTGAACCGACATTTGATTTCTGGCTCACGATCAAAAACAGTGACGGCGAATATCTGAACCGGTCATGGGCCTCCCCTAGGTCAAATAAGTACCTGGGTGGTGCTGGCCACCCACCCCCTTCATGTGCCATGCCGGTCTTCACAGGTGTTCGCTAACGGCACTTGCCCCAGCAGTCTGTTACAGGCTACGCGAGGGATCTTTGTCTGGCCTTCATAGGAGCTGCTACTCGCTAACAGAACTTGCCACAACAGTCTGTGAAGGCTAAACGGAGGAGTGTGGTGCTCTGCATCTCCGTGGGAGTGAGGGAGCGAGCGAGGTGTGTGCTGTTACCTGCCCCGTGCCCACTCCCCCACAGTGCACCACGTTGGCCCCCATGCAGCTCAGCAGCTCCTTGGCGGCGTTGAACTCGGCCTCGGGACCGCCCACCATAAAGGTGAGGTTCCCAGCCCTTGCCGCCCCCACTCCTGAGCTCTCGCAAAGACAAAGATCGCCCACCACCCCCCGCGTGTGTAGCCTCAGCAGACTTATCAGGTGTCCACCACGTCACGTGATGCATACATAGCAAACACGTCATGACACGTGCACACATGAAAAACAATAATCGCCTATACGCACACATACACGAATACATACGTACATATATACATACACGTACTCAGTCATTCACATGTACACTCGCATCCTCTTTGGTTCTTTCGGTAAAGTTACGTAGGTAGAAAAAATCTAATTAAATCACGAAGTTTCGATCGCAACACAAGCAATCATCATCAGGTGAGACCGATACAGCAGGAAAACGGCTGCAAACAGGCGAGAGAGCTGCCGTGACAAGGGGTTATATAGGTCTGAGCTGGGAGCAACCCAAGGGTAAGTGGGCGGGGCTGGAGGTGGAAGAGAGAGGGGCTGTGGAGCTGCGTGAGACACGGGGGGAGAGATCTGCCGTGACAAGAGAGATCGGTGGTAGGGGGGAGAGAGGGGGGGTTGGGCAGAAATAAGAAAGAGGGAGGCAAGGGGGGGGCGAGAGAGGTGGGTGGGGCAGAGATAATCGGTGGTAGGGGGAGAGAGGCTGTGTTAGTGATGTTAATGTGAGAAATTAGCATGTTAATGTAAGATCGCAGAGCCACCGCCAAGTCGAGGTCGGCACGCGGAGGTGGCTATGTTGGTGTGAAAATATTTTAAACTGTTAATGTAAAATGAAGAGCTACTCCCACTTCCGCCTCGTGAGGGAGCACCCCTGTGGCCCCTACTCCGGGCCAGCGTCTCCGTGGGAGGGCCCCGGGCTGGGCGCCCCCGCGATGCTGCCAGCACCCCCGGTGAGACTGCTCGCACCGTCTGCGCCATCCATGGCAGCAACAGAGGAGGGGTGGCGGTGGAGCTGGTGGTCGTGCAGTTGCACGTGGCTACCTGTAATCTGGCGCTGGTTAATAACGTCCTTCCAATGGTTGCTCAGCTGATACCCACCTTCTCAGTTGAAGTTGTCTATGTGTTTATATATCTGGATGGCTTCATGGACAAATATTTGGTAGCCCGAAGGTTTTCAGAGTACCTTGGTCTCGGAATAAACAATATCGTGCGAGCCCACCGTGTTATAACAATGATCAGCCACGGCAGAGGTATTGCTTCTGCCATGTTTCAAATCTGCCATGTGTTCGCGAACACGGTCCGAGATATGTCGATTCGTTTCCCCAATGTAACTGCTGCCGCAGACACAACTTAGTTTGTAGACACCAGGGTATTGCATGTCAGGAATGGCATCCTTCACCGATGGGATCAGATAAAGGATTTTGTGTACGGCATTGAATCGGACCTGGATCTTGTGTTTGTTTAAGATTTTGGAAATATTTTTAACCACTACACTACTCCTCCCCACTGAGCTCACGACCGCGCATACTCGTGCACACGCACGCACGCACACAAACTCACTGCAGAACAGGGAGAGAACACACACACGCCACACAGAAGGGCACCCAAGTCGTGAATCGAACCCAGGCGCTTCTCGCTGCCTGCCGCCCACACGAATGAGGGGACGCACGGTGGGGCCGAGAGAGGAGGCGGACCGCCGAGTCTCACCCCCAGAGACCGGCGCGTCCATGAAGACGGCGCCGGCGCGCTCTGCGGCGAGCGCCGTCTCCTTAGAGACGAGCGTGTCGATGGTGCTCGAGTCGACAAGCAGCGAGCCCCTCCGCACGCTCCTGCAAGCGTGGGGGTGGAGGGGGGGGCGCCACACAGGGGAAGCCACCGACAGTCAGCCCATCCACAACCATCGTCGTCGTCACAGATCATAAACGCCACATGTCATTGTCACAAACTGCTTGTTGTTGTGTTTAATTTGTTGTCCTTCCCTCACACGTCCGATTAAGCAGGGTTGGCTACGTACGGTGCGAAAGAAGTTCAACATACGTGCAAACATAGATTCACAGACCCACTCACACAGAGACCCATAGACGAGCACAGAGACGCATAGTTTGTTGTCCTTCCACCGCACCTCCAATTAGCAAGGATCGCTACGTACTGTGCGAAAGAAGCTCAAAGCACGTATATATCAATACCACAAATCATCACATTGTCATCATCATCACATCTCCATCATCACATGTCACATCATCACATATCATCACCACACATCATCATTACATTTCTATACCACACATTATCATCACAAATCATACATGATCGTAATACATCATCATCGTCATCTGCCTCTTCCTCAATCCACTTCCAAATCTCACAATCTGTTCCCTTGGCTGTCACTCCACGATGAATCTTGACCACCGGCCACCATACACTGTGTGTGTACTGTGTGAGAGTACACAGTGTGTATACTATGTGAGTGTACACTCTGTATACTATGTGAGTGTACACTGTGTATACTATGCGAGTGGACACCGTATTGTGAGTGTACACTGTGTATACTATGTGAGTGTACACTGTGTGCGTACTGTGTGAGAGTACACAGTGTGCACTGTGTGAGAGTACACAGTGTGCACTATGTGAGTGTACACTGTGTATACTATGCGAGTGGACACCGTATGTGCTATGTGAGTGTACATTGTGTATGCTGTGTGCGTACTTGAGGATGCCGCTGGGCCCCATGTAGGCCTCGGTCACATTGGGGCTGGACGGGAGCATCGTGATGATGCGATCGGCGCGTTCCGCCACCTCCGCAGGAGACTCCACGATCTACACGCAGATAACAACCAGCTGTGTGTGATGATCGACATCAGTTGGGTAAAACGCAAACCGTCAGGAGTTGTGTTTGATAGCATGTCCTCCTATTAAAACTATATGTTACAAAAAGGATACAAAAGCACGATAATATTGTTAAGTATAGGAAACATAAACAGATCACTTAAAACATTTTAAACAAATGAAACTAAACTATTTTTTGTATCTTACCAGGTAAGGCCCACTGAGCTATTAGCTTATTTTTCAGAAGTTACCTGGCTATCGCAAATGATAGATCAACGAAGTGGCTTATCCTGTGGACATGTAAAGTAGCCAAATAACTCTAAACAGATGACGTTGATTCTAAACGTGGAGGGGAAAAATCAGAGGACCTGGAGAAAAATCCACGTGACTAGGGGGAGAGAGACACACGCACAGTCCAAATATACAGCAGGCTTCAGGGTTGGGATTGAACCCACGATCGCCTGTATACCAGGTGAGGTAGTTAACATCTCGCCACCGTGGCATTCATTAACACATTTGAAAGGTCGTTAAGATCTGCAGATTCCGCCTTTCTGTGCATACCTCGATCCTAGCTGCGTTCCTGGGGTGAGCGGCCACTTGCTGTGGCCACGCCACCGTTGTAGAATTCCCTACCATTGGAAATTTCTTCATACGATAGTGTGGATACTTTTAAGCCTCATCTTGAAACACATTCTCAAGTCAGTTTATTCTATTTAGCTTCTCCTTCTCTCTTGGCCTTTCGTTTATCCTTATTCTTTACAAGGCGCTTTACAAATAAACGTAAATTATTATTAGCTGTCCCTGTGTGGTATAAGGTGACTCAGCAGCTGGCCTGTATGTGTTCCCAAGTGAGTACCTGGCAGGTGATTTTTCAGCATTGGCATGTGATTTTGGCCAATACAAGTTATGTTGTGTGTGTGTTTAGCTATGGGAGGAAACTGGAGATCCCGGAGGAAACACATGTTCATTCTCTCTCACTCTACAGAACCATGGGGAGAACATACAAACTCCACTTACTCACTTTCACTGTGCAGAACAGGGGGAGAACATAAAAACTCTACTCACTCTCAATCCCACACACACTCGCACATATACAACAACCGCCATTCGCCACTAAGTGGCGGTGATGTCACGACGACGCTTGTGCAGGGCAAAGTGCACTTTGAGGCCACGTGAAGTGTCCAACTTCCGCTGGCAGGTCAGGGGACAGACCCAGCAGGTGCCACGGGTCGACTGACTGAGATGACTGGCTGATACACCACCTGTCCCCCCTACTGTGCCAACTTTCTGTGCTTTAGTCACCCGGCAGCTCCGCTCGTTGTTGTGAGCATTGCTCCTCTACCCTCCCTTGTTGTTGGAGGGCGACTGCCTCCGAATGTCCAATAGTATCCTTCACGAGCCTCCTCCACAGAGGCCGATCTTGACACCGCTGGTACCAGTCATCGGCAAGTCCACTCAGCTCCACGTCCTCCTGTACCACATCATTCCATCTCTTCTCTAGCCCGTGACGCGCTCGTTTAGCCACCTCGATCCGGCCGAACAAAAGCTGTTTAAGGCATGCGATGTGACTGGGCATGCGGGCTACATGGCCCAGCCAACGCAGCCTTGCCTGCCGGAGGAGCTCACCAATAGAACTTTGTTCACATCTTTCAAGGATTTGTGAGCTCCTCACACAATCCAGGATGGATCGTAGGCAGGCCAGCCTAAATGTTTCTAACCGGCGAAGATGTTTCATTAGGGGGGTCCACGTTTCGCAAGCGTAGAGAAGGGAGGGAATGACCGTGGCTGAAAAGACTTGAAGCTTCGTGCAGAGCGACAGACCAGGTAGCTTCCACACAGCGTTATGCAACCGATGAAAAGATAATGCCGCTCGACTGATTCTGAGTGAGACCTCTGCTGTCAAACCGGAGCCGGTCATGAGCACACTGCCCAGGTATGGGAAACTCTCCACTCTCTTCACAACCTGCTCCATCACCGATTGGAAGGTGTGGGGATGGAGTGTCCGATGATACAAAATACCCTGGCAGGTGCTTAGTTTTGATGGGGCTGATGGTAAAGCCCCACCTCTTAGTGGCAAGCTCCAGGCTTAGCAGAAGCGCCTCAAACTCCTCCTCTGAGTGTGCAGCGATTACCAGATCATCGGCATACATAACATCGTTGAGCAATAGGGAGCCATCCCTTGACCGCACCCGGGCATCGATCAGCCTCCCATCATATCTGTACCAGATGGAAATTTCTCCGGTACAGCTATTGAAGGACTCACAAACTACGTTGTCAAAATAGATCTTAAATAATGTGGGAGCCAGAGGACATCCCTGTCGCACCCCAAGGTGTACAGCGAATGGCTCTGACTCCTGGCCACGTAGTTTTACCCGGGCCTGCTCACAATCATGAAGGTCCTTAATGATCGTGAGCAGAGGGTCAGGGACTCCGAAAGCACGAAGAACAACCCAGAGCCCAGGCCTACTGATGGTATAATAGGCCTTGACCAGGTCAATAAAGCAGAGATGTAGGTCTTGTTGGGATTCCCTACACCTCTGCTGTAGCAGACGGACAGAAAGTATGGCATCTGTGCATGACCGTCCTTTCCTGAAACCGCATTGGGGCTTCGCAAGCCTCTCCTCAGCGTGCCTAGCAAGGCGATGTTGAAAAATCCGTGATAGGACCTTTACCGGCCACACTGATGAGTGAGTTGCCCCTGCAGTTGTTAAAGTCTGTGCGGTCCCCCTTCTTCAAGAGGTGGACCACCAGGGCATCCGTCCAGTCCTGCAGAACCCGTCCAGTGGTCCAGACTGTTGTTATGATGTCATGTAGGGCAGTCTGTGCACAAACGCCACCCTCCCCTCAGCATTTCGTTTGGGAGATCATCTCTGCCCGGTGCCTTTTCTGGTCTCAGACTCTGGATCGCCTTTAGTACTTCAACAGATGGCACCTCAGCCAGCCACTCACAAGCGTCATCCCCACTTTGTACCACGATGTTTCCCATGTCAAGGGTTTCTCCCCTCCCCCAGGACCTCACAGAAATGCTCAGCAAATCTGCAAACCTGTTCCTTGGGTCAGAGATTGGATCACCGTTTTTTCCCCTAATGATGGTAATAGGTGTGGCGCTGCAGGTTACTTTTTTATAGAGTTAAATAGGGATTTGAGATCGTGGACCATTGAGGCAGACTCCATTTAACAGCAACCCGCGACCACCACCCATCCTTGCAGCCTCATGGCTCTCCGAACCTCCGAGCGAAGGCTGCGATAAGCCTCCTCATTCTCTGACGTGGGAAGCTGTAGACGATTAGAGTGGGCATGTCGCTTTTTCTCAACTATCCTGAACACCTCCTCTGTCAGCCAGGGTTCTATGGGGAGGTATGGACCGCATACCCAAAGTAGCCATTGCAGCTGCATGAGTCACAGTCCTAAACCTCGCCGATTTACCCTCGACATTTGGAGGAGTGGGGGACGATGCCAACCCCAGCCTCAAGCGATGAAATTCTCGCTTGCAATTTTCATCAGCTAGCTGAGACCAGGCCACCTTAGGTTGGAATGGGGTCCTGGGTGTACACCCACCACCGGAGTGGAAGAATGGCAGGCGCATCTTGGTCAGAGGGCAGATCAGCTCCACAGTAGGTCACACATATACATACATACATACACTCGCTCACCGAGCATCAGGGGGAGAGAAAACACGAACTCCATGCAGAAAGTAGCGCCGTAGTCGGGAATCAAACACAAGAACTTTTAGCTGTGATGGTTTGTGAGCGTAAACTGTTTGCACTCCGCGCTAAAAGAGGGGCAACGGTGTTGCTCTTGCACCTGCGCGCCACTGTCCTGCAGGTCCTTGCAGGCATCCGGGAAGACGTCGCAGGCGATGACTGGGTAGCCGTGCTTGATGAGGTTCTTGGCCATGGGGTTGCCCATGTTGCCCAGACCGACAAATCCCACGGGCGTCTTGGAGGCCATGCCCCTCCGCGACACTGGCGAGAATCCAGGCACACGAAGACACGCACACACAGATACACACAAACGCAGATCAAAATCAAAGATCCCCTCGTATAGTCTTTAACAGACCGTTAGAGGCAAGTGCTATTCACGAGTAGCACCGATGAAGGTCGGCGTGGCACACGAGGGGGTAGCTGGCAAGCACCATACCCGACCACCTTCATCTCCGCAGTGCCGATGTTATCTGCCACGATTATCGGTCCGTGAGCGGGAATCGAACTCGGGTCGCTGGATTCATGGCGTCAGTGCGCTGCTAACCGCTGGGCGTGGGGGCCGAGGTAATCAGGGGAAGCAACAACCCCAGACATAACCCTAAAGGTGCAGCCCTGAAAGTGCCTGCCGGCAGAAAGGGCCACCCCCACTAGAAAGGGAGCTCTGAAGGGTGAATTTATTCTGCCTTTACCAGGTATGCAGGGTGCCACGGTGGCGAGATGTTAATTACCTCGCCTGGTATACAGGAGGTTGTGGGTCCGATCCCGATCCTGATGCCAATTCCATATTTGAAGTTTGCATGTCTTTCTTTCTCTCTCTCTCTCCCCGTAGTGGTCATGTGAATTTTTCTCCGGGATCCTCCGGTTTTTTCCCCAAGTTTAGAATCAACGTCACGGGTTTAGAATATTTGGCTGCCGCTATGAATTTCCACACGATGACGATGATCCTCTTCATTGAGCTATCATTACGTGTGATAGCCAGGTCGCTTATGAAAAAGAGCTACTACATAGCTCAGTGGGCCTTACCTGGTAGGAGTGTTTTTTTAGGTGGGTGCACCCACACTTTGTCCCACCGCACGAGATGGGCTGCCGAGCTCCCGTGGCGCACTGCTGCTGGCCAGGCAGAGGCGCGAGGTGGGTTGGGTGGAGGGGGGGATATTCGAGAAACTTGCTCCCTAGTTTCAACCGAACTGAACTAGCGAATTACGGATTGCGAAACAAGTGGGCTAACCATTACACCACACAGCAGCAGCATCCCTGTGTGTGTATGCCTGGGGAGCAGCAGCGTAGCGATTAACGCGCTGCGCTACGAACCCGGCTTCCCCGAGTTCGATTCCCACTCACAGCCAACACTCAAGTGACGATTATCTGAACCGGTTTTGGGCCTACCCTCGGTCGACTCAGCCTTAAATGTGTACATGGTGCAGTGTGCAAACGTTGCCACAATTGGTGCTGGCCACCCACGCCCCTCGTGTTACCGTCAGAGGTGCTAATCGCATACAGCACTTGCCCAAAATGTCTATTAAAGCTACATGGGGAATCTTTGTCCTGTATATACAGTAGACTTGATTATCCACCTGCGGCTTTTGTGGATTAACCGCGCACCAACGATTTTTACATAAATTAATAACTCATGGATTTTCCCTTTAGCCCAAATTAATAATCTAAAAACAGTTATAAATTGTTATTCTTGTAAGTGTTTATTGCAAGTCACTTAAATCCAACGAATATGTTAATCCGAAATCCACGTGATCGTCTCGACAGTACAGTAGTTGCATATCGTTAAAACAGTGGGCGGAGTTTGATTGATGTCCGATTGGCTGTGGCTCTGCTCCTGTGCGCTTAGTGGGCAAAGTCTTCTGCTGGGCGAGAGCAGGAAAGTGTTATCACTGAGCACAAGCACCATTCATCGGTTAATTATTTCCTACACAAATGTTTATTTTGTTCATTAACAAACTAATTTTTCTTAACTTAAACATAATTTACACCTATATCAATGGTTTTAGGCATCGAGATCCAGGGAAATTGATATTTTTGGATAATCCACGATTTAGAATTGTCTGCGGACATCTTCCCTATCATTATGGTGGATAAGCGAGTCGACTGTATGTGTCTGTACCTTGGGAATTTCTTATCTGGTACAGATACACCGGCAGGCTAATCGATGCATGGGTGCAGTGAAGGTTATGGCTTCCCATTGGCCAACCGTGTTATAAATGCTGACAAACTGGTAATTGCTGCTCACTGAGAAGTTAATATTACTGAACGTGGAGCAAGTCACTAAGAGGTGTGGCATTACAATTAGCCCTACCAAAACAAAGCAGCTGCCTGTATATTTTATGTCATCAAATACTCCACCCCCTCAACTCCCACTTAGTGATGTGGCAGATGTGGAGCAGAGAAGTTTCGATACCAGGGCAGTGTGCTTAAGACCAGCTCTGGTTTGGCACTGGAGGTTTACACTGAATCATTCGAGCAGGCAATATCTTTGCATCAGCTGCTTAACCCTGTGTGTAAGCTACCTGGCCCATCACTCCCATACAAAGCGCCGGATATTCTCAGCCACAGTTATGCTCTCCCTTCTCTACACTTCGGTAAAATAAAATTCCATTAAAGGAACATCTGCGCCAATAAAATGCAGCAAGCTGGCAACAGTGGGAAGCAAAGCTGGTACACCCAACAGTAATCTCAGTCGGTCAACCCATGGTACCTGGGTCAGTTCCGTGACCTGCCAGCAAGCCTTCCAACATTTCACATGGCCTCAAAGTGCCCCTAGCCTGACACAGGCGCCGTGGTGACACCGCCACCATCACCAGTTAATAGTTAATAGCGGCTGCTGTTGTTGTTAATTGCAGAGTCTCCAAGGATGAAGTAGCCCATCCCCTGCGATTGCGAGCTAACCATTAGACCGCAGCAGCTCGCAAGCTGACTTCATTAGAGTGAAACGGGGACCATGCCACACTGGCAATGCATGAACTTGCCGGGCCGCAGCTCACACAAAATGCCACGGCAAGGACGTGACCTTGCGACGATCGCTGCGGTCACCCCGCGGTTCGTGTCCTCCTCACGCTTTCTATTCCGACGTAGAGAGATGCAAGGGGTGAAACTTCCACGGCTAACCCCATTTGACTGCGTTTGTTTGAATTCATCAGGGTGTCCACCGTGTCACGTGACGCACACATAAGCAAACACATCATGACACGTGCGCACACACATATACATACAAACACACACTCGCATATACGCACACATACACTCACCACTACACTACCGCTCCCCACACAGATACACAAAGATAAACACACACACACACCAGGCTACATCGACAACAACCGCAATTCGCCACTAGGTTGCGGTGACGTCACCACGGTGCTTGTGGCAGGCTCGGTGCACTTTAAGGCCACGTTAAGTGTCGAACGCCCGCTGGCAAGAGGTCACGAGACAGACCCAGGTGCCATGGTTTGACTGAGATGACTGGCAGATGTACCACCCGTGCTCCCCTACATTCGCATATACTCACAATTACATACACGCACTCATTCTTAAACATGTACACTCACACCTATACTCAATCACAAAAGACAAAGATCTCCCACATAGCCTGAAAAGATTGTTAGGGCAAGTGCTGTTTGCAAGCACCTATGAAGGCCGGCACTGCACATGAGGGGGTCGGTGGCCAGCACCATGCCCAGTCTTCGTGGATGTTTACACATCACACCAGGTACTCAATTGAGGCTGAGTTATCCTAAAGGAGGGACCATAACCGGTTCAGATAATCACCACCAGTGTTGGCCATGAGCGGGAATCGAAGTTGGGTCGGCAGGTACATAGCGCGGCATGTTAACCACGACACTACCGCTTCCCACTCACTTCGCTGCTCACCACCAAACGACTACACTGATGTACTTACTGGTAATCAATGAGGTACATACGCACAACAGTTCATACCCCCACAGATTAAAAACACGTAGTGATACACACATAAAAATACGAACATGTTAAACATATAACTTAAACTAAGATATTTCACGCGCTTTGGACGTGAACGTCCATCCCGTCCCCTCTAGCCAGTCAGCCAAACTTTATTGACAACCTCCAACCAGTCAGTCAGAATGCGCACCGGGCCTAGCGTAGCCACCCAGAAAAACGTATTGATAAACTAAACAATTTTTAGTTTTACCAGGTAAGGCCCAAAGAGCTGAGATGTAGCTCTTTTTAAGAAGCGACCTGGCCATCACAAATGATAGCTCAGCCAAGTGGCGTATCATCACTTGGAAATTTATAGCAGCAGCCGGATGCTCTAAACGCGTGATGTTAATTTTAAATGAGGGGAAAACCCGGAGGTAGCGGCCACCGGGAGAGAGAGACACGCAAACTCCAAATACACAACAGGCATCATCAGGGTCGCAGATCGAACCCACGGCTTCCTGTATATCAGGCGAGGGAGTTAACATCTCCCATCCACCGTGGCGCCCGGGTTTCATACAGTGCATACACACAATTAAGTGGTTGCACACTCGCAGGGCAAAGAGGCAGTGTGCGAGCCATCTGGAAGGAGTGCATTTGGCCAGAGTTGTAATGAGAGATCTAAAGGAGTGGGGGAGACTGGCACGTCCATGCTCGGAGTGGGCCCTGGGTGACGCTCTCATTGGGGCCCCGTGAACTTCACTCGCACACGTGCGGCGAGTAACGCAAAGACGGTGGTCACCGCGCTTTCAAATGCGCTGCTTCTGCAGCCGTCTGGAACGCTCTTCCCTGTCGATATTAGGAAGCCCATTGGGAGCTGTGCTGTACTTTTAAATCATCGTCTAGATTGATAAACTAATTTCTTTAGAGCTGCTTGTTGTGTTTAGTTTGCAGTCCTTCACCCAGCCACACCGATTAGCGCGGTTGCTATGTACGGTGCGATAGTTCAACTAACAAACTACGATACACAACACGATACATTACACTGCTACGCTATATACTACACCACTATACATTGACAAACTCATTTATTTAGAAATGCTTTTTGCGTTTCGTTTGTTGTCCTTCCCCCAGCCGCACCTCCGGTTAGCACGGTGGTTACCTACGGTGGTGCGATAGAAGTTCAACATCCGTACACAGAAACATTGTAGACCACTACATCGGTGTAGCAGTGTGGTGGCCGAGTAATGTGGTGGTGGTGGTGGAGAGTTAATGGTGGTAACCAGTAGCGGTTACTCGTGGTGAGTAGCAGAGACTGCCTTGGCGAAGAAAGCTTTGTTTTGTTGTGTCCAAACCGGCAGAAATCTATGTACTGTGCATTATTTATAATTAGTTAGTGATTAGATTGTCTTTCCTATACTTTACGCTCCAATCGTGTGTATGTACAGTGTGTTGTTGTAACGTTCTTACCCCGTGCCCTTACTGGACATCTGTGAAAAGGAGCTTTATAGGTCTTTTTATTTCAGCTTTTTAGCTCCTGCAGTATAAATCGATGACCTGTGATTGGCGAGTACATTTAGTGTAGTCGTGTGGTGGTGAAAGAGGTTTGCTTTTGTGGTAGGTGTGTTGTGGCTGTTGTGGTTGTTGTGGTTAGATGGTAGATGTAGTGATGGTGGTTGCTGTATTGGTTGTGGCGGTGGTTGTTGTATTGGTTGCTGTTGTAGTGGTGGTTGTAGTGGTTGTTACAGTAGTTAGTGTTGTTGTAGTAGTTAGTTGTAGTAGTTAGTTGTTGTAGTGGTAGTTCGTGGTTGTAGTTTTAGTTGTTGTAGTGGTAGTTAGTGGTTGTAGTGGTAGTTAGTGGTTGTAGTGGTAGTTAGTGGTAGTTGTAGTTGTTATAGTGGTTGTAGTGTGGTAGTTAGTGGTTGTAGTGGTTGTTGTAGTGGTAATTAGTGGTTGTAGTTGTGGTTGTTGTAGTTAGTGGTTGTTGTAGTGGTTGTAGTGGTAGTTAGCGGTTGTTAGTGGTTGTAGTGGTAGTTAGTGGTTGTCGTTGTGGTTGCTGTAGTGGTTATTGTAGTTGTTGTAGTGGTTGTTATAGTTGTTGTAGTGGTTGTTGTTGTTGTTACCGAGGCTGGAGCCGCAGGCCCGAACCGCTCCCGCGCCCCGCACGAGGAGCGCCGCCGCCATTGCTCGCTCCGCGGTGGCCGCAGGCGAGGGCCTCGCGGTCCCTCTCCTCCTCCTCGCGTGCGACAGCAGCAGCTACAGCTGTAGCAGCAGCAGCTACAGCTGTAGCAGCAGCAGCTACAGCTGTAGCAGCAGCAGCTGTAGCTGTAGCAGCAGCAGCTGTAGCTGTAGCAGCAGCAGCTGTAGCTGTAGCAGCAGCAGCTGTAGCTGTAGCAGCAGCAGCTGTAGCTGTAGCAGCAGCAGCTGTAGCTGTAGCAGCAGCAGCTGTAGCTGTAGCAGCAGCAGCTGTAGCTGTAGCAGCAGCAGCTGTAGCTGTAGCAGCAGCAGCTGTAGCTGTAGCAGCAGCAGCGGTGCTGCTACAGCTGCTGCGGGCCCGGACGAGAGAGCGCTCGGGCAGAGACACAGGGAGAGTTTGTGTCGCCTTTCCTGCTGCTGCTGGCCTTGACGAGAGAGCGCTCGGGCAGAGACAGAGAAACACAGCGAGGGTGGTTGTTGTAGTGAATGTTGAACAGGGAGAGTTTGTGTCGCCTTTCCTGCTGCTGCGGGCCCGGACGAGAGAGCGCTCGGGCAGAGACAGAGAAACACAGCGAGGGTGGTTGTTGTAGTGAATGTTGAACAGGGAGAGTTTGTGTCGCCTTTCCTGCTGCTGCTACAGTGGTTTTCCTGGGGTCCGCGGCGAACACGTTTCGGATCGTGACCTCCACCGGGCGGTAACCGCCATCATCCCCAACCACGGCATCAAATCACCGCGGTCCCCTGTAAGGCGCGGGGGTGTGGAGGGGGCCGATCCACGATGCTCGCCGCTGATTGGAGGCTGCGAGGAGCCAAAATTCGGTGGTTGCGAAACAATAAAAATAGGCCGGTAGCTAATGTAAATTTTAAGTTTTCGTGACTGCAGGGATCCATACTCTTTGGTTCTTTCGTAAAGTCACGTACATATAATGATTGCTTATGTTGCAATCGAAACGTCGTAATTTTATTATTTTAAACTCACGTGACTTTACCGAAAGAACCAAAGAGAATGGTAGCCGTGTGCAAAACGCCACGGTCCCCAGGTGGGGCGCGGGTGATGTGCGTCACTTCCTGCGGTAAAATCACCGCGGCCCCTGAGTCCCACTCGCTTCCACTTCTCCTCCAGCGCGGGTACGTTACCCCTCCCCTCCACCGAGTTTCCCCTCCACCTCGTTACCCCCCTCCCCTCCACTTCGTTACCCCCCCTCCACCTCGTTACCCCTCCACCTCGTTACCCCTCCCCTCCACCTCGTTACCCCTCCCCTCCACCTAGTTACCCTCCCCTCCACCTAGTTACCCCCCCTCCACCTCGTTACCCCCCTCCACCTCGTTACCCCTCCCCTCCACCTCGTTACCCCTCCCCTCCACCTCGTTACCCCTCCCCTCCACCTCGTTACCCCTCCCCTCCACCTCGTTACCCCTCCCCTCCACCTCGTTACCCCTCCCCGACACCGCGTTACCCCCTCGCTTTTCTCCTCCACATTACCCCCCTACCCTCTCGTTACCCCTGCGCTCCACCTCGTTACCACCGTCACCTCGGCGCTTTCTTTCATTATTCAGCCGTGCTCAATTCCACTGCTGGATGGTGCCCCCCCCCCCCCCTCTCTCACGATAGGCGCAACTCGGCACAGGCACGGAGGAGCCCCGATGCCCCCCCCCCCCCGCCGTATCTGCATCGCAGTCAATCACGCGTGGACGTGGCGGTGGGGTGTGGATGATGATGATGGTGGTGGCGATGATTATAATGGTGGTGGTGATGATGGTGATTGATGCTGATGGGTTGTAATAACGAGCAGAGCTCCGGGCGGCTAAAACGCAGCGAGTTGGCAAAGTCGTGGACGGGCACAGCAGCAGGCGGTGGTGGCGGTGCATCGGGGGCAGTCTTCTCAAGTCGGTCAACCCATTGGGGGGGGGGGGGGGGGGGGGGCACCTGCCAGGTCTGTGTCCCTCTGTGATCTCCTGCCGGCAGGCGAGTCACCAACACTTTCACGTGGCCTCAAAGTACACCTGGCCTAGTACAGGTGCTGTGGTGATGCAGTAAACACGCGTTCCATCACGCGTGAGAGAGACGACGATTCAGGCATACGGGAAGGCGATTCGCGCTCCACACGGAGGAGAGGAAACGCGTGGATTCGGTGGGAACACAAAATACAGTTCCGGACGTTGTATTTATCTTCAATCCAGTAGTTGATAGACCGCGATGCAAGCGTGGAGACGCGTGCATTGGCATTCCCCACGTGATTGACGTGCCTGTCGATAATGATAGTGATGGTGACATACGTCACCATCACTATCATCAGCAGCATCAACACCATCAGCAGCACCATCACCACCATCATCATCACTCCCAAGTTCAACTCACCTATATTGGTTAGTTTCATCTTCTTGGTTCTTTCGGTAAAGTCACGTAGAAGGGAAGTAATAAAATAATAAAAATAAAACATAAAATAATTCTCACGACGTTTCGGCCACAACGCAAGCAGCCGTCCTCAGGTGAAAACCAGGTCTGTCGGGGAGACAGCGTCTGAATGAAACAGCACACGAGCTTGGAGCATATATAAGCTGGGTTGGAAGGGGGGGAAAGGGCGCTTCGACAAAAGAATTTGCATATCAAGAGGAATTTAGCATATTTATGGGAAATGCAGGAATGTGATTAGTACTACATATGCCCGTGCATTATGCAGGACTAGCAGCATCAAAGGGAGGGGATATGGGAAATGCAGGTATGTGAATACTGTAGTACTAATTATGCCTGTGCATTATGCAGGATTAGCAGCATCAAAGGGAGGGGATAGGGGTAGCATTAATAAAGGGAAGGAGTGTTAATAGTATGTAGCTGCAGTAACTAAAACCAACACGTAAACAACAAAAGTATGAACTACATAGTATCATCAGTATACTAACTATACTCTACAATAAGCTGAGTTACTAACAGTAAGTAATACATTACAATTCTACGTCGTAAAAATTATATAATATGCTTCCATCTAAACTTTATTCTCTTACATCACACGAGTCTACACCATACTATAAACTGCCATAGACAAACCCAATGTTAAATTATATACTGTATTGCTATAAACCACCTTATACATTGTAATATAACACTATGTATTATTCTACCACCCTAATGTATATCACACTGCTATATATTCACTATACAATTACGATGCTATATATTACTTTGAACATTGTATTAAGCATATAAATGTTATACTATTTGTTATTATACACAGTACCATTGACCGTCGTGTCAATGGGTGAGTAGTGAGAGGAAACTTGCAGCGGAGCAAAGAATCCATTCCCTGCGGAGAATACAATGCCAGTGAGTAGAACGCGGTTTGAAAGTCACCGTAAACGTGAACACAATCAGTTAAGATCCGAAATGGTTTATTACGTCCTTCCAATGATTGCTAAGCCAGAATCCATCTTCTCGGTTGAAATTGTCTCTGTGTTTGTATATGTGGATCGCCTCATGAACGAATCTCTCATGATAGCCAGATGGCTTGCAGAGAACCTCTGTCTTGGAGAAGTCAATGTCATGTGAGCCCACTGAGTTGTAACAGTGATCTGCCACGGCTGAGGTGTTTGTTCTACCGTGTTTCAGGTCTGCTTTATGTTCACGGATGCGGTCCGAGACATGTCGTTTGGTTTCCCCAATGTAACTGCTACCACAGAGGCAACTTAGTTTGTAGACGCCAGGGTACTGTATGTCTGGAACCACATCTTTTACAGACGGGACCAGATCACGGATTTTATGTACTGTGTTGAATCGGACCTGGATCTTGTGTTTAATCAGGATTTTGGAGATCTTTTTTGTGACCCAGCAATGTAGGGTAAGGTGATGGTCTTGAAAGGCTCCTCAACAGGATCCTCCTTGATGGTTGGAGTGATGGCCTTGCGGATTGTGTAGTCGGAGTAACCATTAGCCTTAAACAACATCAGCAAAGATTAGCGTTTTGAATTAGCTCAATTGAAAAAGAGGGATGACTTTGTCATCCTCTCAGCCGACAAAGGCAATGCCACTGTCATCATGGACAAAATAGAATACAACAACAAAATTTAAGAACTACTCAACGATGGCAGCTATACAAATATAAAAAGAGACCCCACCAACAGCCTCGTCTCTAAAACCAAGCAAATAATTTCTGATTCAACCGCATTAATTGATCAGACCAAACAGTTCTCGTTGAAACCTTCTGCAGCCAGGCCACCAAGATTATACGGCTTGCCAAAGATACATAAAGAAGATACACCTCTTCGTCCCATTGTCTCTACTATCAACTTCCCCACCTATATAAACTGGCTCGTTTTTTGTCTGAAATCCTACGGCCTTTCACTGGAAAAACCACCTCTGCGGTACTAAACTCTACTGACCTGGTATCGACAATCAAGGGGATTGCCCTGTCCCCAGACGACCTACTTGTCAGTTTTGATGTGGTTTCCTTGTTCACCAAGGTTCGTGTACCTGACACCATCGCAATCATTGAAGACTTGGTTCATCAAGGACTGAATGCTGGGGTACCCCCCCTGGTGAGACACTGCTTAACCAATACATACTTCACCTGGAATGGAACTTTCTACAGGCAAACTGAGGGCACCCCAATGGGCTCCCCCCTATCTCCGGTTGTAGCCAACGTCTTCATGGAGAAATTTGAGACTGACGCCATCCAGACTGCCACTCTACGCCCAACCTTGTGGAAGAGGTACATAGATGACACTTTTGTCATCTGGCCACATGGCCGGCCTGCTCTAGACCAATTTCTCGACCACAAATTCCATACATCCAGCCATCAGATTCACCATGGAAGTCGAAAAAGATGGCAAGCTACCCTTTTTGGATGTCCTAATTAAAAGGAGACCTGATGGTTCAATGAGCCACTCTGTCTACAGGAAAGCCACCCATACGGATGCTTACCTGAAACCAGATTCCCACCACCATCCATCCCAGAAGAATTCCCTCATCAAGACTCTATACCATAGAGCCCAATGCATTTCCGATCAGGAACACATTGCCAGTGAACTCAAACACGTACGCCAAGCTCTTAAGGCTAATGGTTACTCCGACTACACAATCTGCAAGGCCATCACTCCAACCATCAAAAAGGATCCTGTTGAGGAGCCTTTCAAGACCATCACCTTACCCTACATTGCTGGGGTCACAAAAAAGATCTCCAAAATCCTGATTAAACACAAGATCCAGGTCAGATTCAACACAGTACATAAAATCTGTGATCTGGTCCCGTCTGTAAAAGATGTGGTTCCAGACATACAGTACCCTGGCGTCTACAAACTAAGTTGCCTCTGTGGTAGCAGTTACATTGGAGAAACCAAACGACATGTCTCGGACCGCATCCGTGAACATAAAGCAGACTTGAAACACGGTAGGACAAACACCTCAGCCGTGGCAGATCACTGTTACAATTCAATGGGCTCACATGACATTGACTTCTCCAAGACAGAGGTTCTCTGCAAGCCATCTGGCTACCATGAGAGATTCGTTGATGAGGCGATCCACATATACAAACACAGAGACAATTTTAACCGGGAAGATGGATTCTGGCTTAGCAATCATTGGAAGGACGTAATAATCCATTTCGGATCTTAACTGATTGTGTTCACGTTTACGGTGACTTTCAGGCCACGTTCCACTCACTGGCATTGTATTCTCCGCAGGGAATGGATTCTTTGCTCCGCTGCAAGTTTCCTTCCACTACTCACCCATTGACACGGCGTTCAATGGTACAGTGTATAATAACAAATAGTATAACATTTATATGCTTAATACAATGTTCAAAGTAATATAGAGTATCGTAATTGTATAGTGAATATATAGCAGTGTGATATACATTAGGGTGGTAGAATAATACATAGTGTTATATTACAATGTATAAGGTGGTTTATAGCAATACAGTATATAATTTAATGTTGGGTTTGTCTATGGCAGTATATAGTACGGTGTAGACTCGTGTGATGTAAGAGAATAAAGTTTAGATGGAAGCATATATAATTTTTACGACGTAGAATTGTAATGTATGACTTACTGTTAGTAACTCAGCTTATTGTAGAGTATAGTTAGTATACTGATGATACTATGTAGTTCATACTTTTGTTGTTTACGTGTTGGTTTTAGTTACTGCAGCTACATACTATTAACACTCCTTCCCTTTATTAATGCTACCCCTATCCCCTCCCTTTGATGCTGCTAATCCTGCATAATGCACGGGCATAATTAGTACTACAGTATTCACATACCTGCATTTCCCATATCCCCTCCTTTGATGCTGCCAGTCCTGCATAATGCACGGGCATATGTAGTACTAATCACATTCCTGCATTTCCCATAAATATGCTAAATTCCTCTTGATATGCAAATTCTTTTGTCGAAGCGCCCTTTCCCCCCCTTCTAACCCAGCTTATATATATATGCTCCAAGCTCGTGTGCTGTTTCATTCAGACGCTGTCTCCCCGACAGACCTGGTTTTCACCTGAGGACGGCTGCTTGTGTTGTGGCCGAAACGTCGTGAGAATTATTTTATTATGTTTTATTTTTATTATTTTATTACTTCCCTTCTACGTGACTTTACCGAAAGAACCAAGAAGATGAATCCCTGCAGTCACGAAAGCTTTAAATCGAAATTGGTTAGTTTGTTGTCCTTCCCCTGCACCTCTGATTACTACTGTTGGCTACGTACGGTGCAAAGGAAGTTTCAACATACATCACCATCACTGTCATCATCACCATCACTACTATCAGCACCATCACTACTATCAGCACCATGAACACAGTCATCAGCATCACCACCATCATGCGTACCATCATGAGTACCATCATCAGCACCATCACTACTAAGTTCAATATACATACATTGTTTAGTTTGTGAGTCCTTCCACCGTACCTGGCAATGTAAGGTGCAATGTAAGTATCAACATACGTACGTACGCACAATGCCGAAAATCAAACGTATGCACGAACAAAAAAATCAAACGCAGCAACAGATCGTGCCAGAGGAGAGAGAGGGAGATTGGGAGGCGGCAAGCGCATCGCTGTGTGACAGCCCTAACGAGCGGTTGCGTCGTGTGCAGCAGGAGCTGGCGGCCGCAGCGGCAGCAGCAGCACCACCAGCAGGAGGCGGCGATGAGCGGGCAGAAGGTGGACGTGAAGGTGGTGCTTCTGGGGCGCGAGTACAGCGGCAAGACGAGCCTGGTTGAGCGGTTTGTACACCAGCGCTTCCAGGCTGTGCCCTACCAGAATACCATCGGCGCCGCGTTCGGCGCCCGTCGCTTGGAGGTGTCATCTTCGTCGGGCCGGGGCGGCCGCTCGCTAACGTTGGGCGTGTGGGACACGGCCGGCTCGGAGCGCTACGAGGCCATGAGCCGAGTCTACTACCGCGGGGCCCGGGCAGCCGTCATCTGCTATGACCTGACTGACGAGCGCAGCTTCGAGCGTGCCCGCTTCTGGACCGACGAGCTGCGGCGCTGCGAGCCCGAGTGCCGTATCTACCTGTGCGGCACCAAGCTCGACCTCGCGACGGAGGGCGGAGGAGGGGTGGGCCGACGCGTGGACCGCCACGACGCGCAGGACCTCGCCGAAGAGCTACAGGCGCGCCTCTACGAGACGTCCAGCAAGAGCGGCGAGAACGTGGAGGCGCTCTTCCGCGCCGTCGCCGAGGACTTTGCGGACGAGCCGGCGAGGGAGAAGTCGGGGGTCGACCTTGCGGCGGGTGGCGCGAGTGGCGCAGGCAGCTCCAAATGCTGCGTGAAGTGAGACCCCCCCCTGGGGCTATAAACTATGAAACGATAAAACTTTTATTTGATCAGTGGATAAGGCCCCACAGAGCTGTGTTAGCTCATTTTCTCTCTCACCTTGGTTGTGTGGATTTTTCTCCGGGCCCTCTGATTATTCCCCTCCATATTCAGAATCAACGTCACACGTCCAGAGTATTTGACTGCTGCTATAAATTTCCACGCGATGATAATGATAATCCCACTTCGTTAAGCTATCATTTGTGATAGCCCAGGGTCGATTTTGAAAAGAACTACATAGGCTCAGCAGCAGTGGCACTTACCCTCTGGTAAAATAAAAATATAGTTCGTTTCTTGTTTGAAGGGAAGGGAACGGGAAGTGAAACGTCGACCGATTACGGGAGTGGATGGCGAGCCACGCGGTGCGCATGCTACCAATACCGCTGAGGAGCTGTGCTCTTCACGTGTGCGTGTGCGCCCTGTCTCATGTTTACGCTTTTAAATGACAGCGGACGAGTGGTTGAGAATCTGCACATGGTCTCTACCTCGCTGATCTCATCAAGGACCGTAAACCATCATCACGTGAACTCCGGCAGCTTTTGGCTGGTCGTCGAATAAAGACGGTCACCGCATCACACAGTGCTTTCAGATGTGCTTCTGCGGCCGTCTGGAACGCTCTTCCGATATTAGGAAGCCACTGGAGCTATGCACTTTTAATTCATCTGGATTTAAAACTAATTTCTTTAGAACTGCTTTTTGTGTTTAGTTTGTTGTGTGTTCATATTGCCAAGTCGGTCTTGCCTGAGCTGCTCATGCCTAAATGTTTACTTTTGTGATTAGTTTCACAAGCTCGTATTATCTTAAGTTTGTTCAACTGGCTGTAAGTTAATCTATTATTAAAACTTATCTTGTGTACACTCCTGGTTTAAAGTAACTTCCTTTTCTGATCATTTAAATCACACATCTTTGTAAATTCGCCCCTGGGTGAATGCCTCCGATGCGCATCGCCTGTGGGGATTTCTTTGACGATGCTTTACCATGCCGGTTAATGCTTGAAGGTCAAAACATTTTAAATTATCGTTTTATAATGACACTATGAGGTGTTACATTTATGTATTTGTATGACAAATGCCAAAGATAGTGGCATGTTCACTGCGATAGTTACCTACGATTTCCACTTGGTGAAAATATAGAGTAGTCCCTTCATTAACGTTTTTTTATCTGTTCCAAGAAAACTACTGTTAACCAAAATAACTGTTAATCGAATATAGGAATTGCATGTTAAAAGCATTAATATATATATTCTTTGGGTCTTTCGGTAAAGTCATGTAGATAGGTTCAAATTAATAAAAAATAAAATAAACAAAAAACTACGACGTTTATCGCAAGACAAGCGGTTGTCATCAGGCGGAGAGAAAAGGGGAGTAAGCCTCCAAATGCAACTGTTTATAAAAGTTTAAAGGTGGGCGTAGGCCAAGTGTCAGAATGGAGTGGGCGGGGCACAAGAGTCTAGGTCTGCAGTGGATAGAGCATCCTATAGAGATGGAGTCTCGGCCATGATAGAGAAAAAGCAATAGAGATGGAACCGAGGCCAGCAGTGGATAGCACATGCAATAGGCATGGTGTACTAGAGGTAGTCTCGGCCAGCATTGGATAAGTATGCTATTACTCGAGGTAGTATCGGCCAGCAATGGATAGAGGAAGTTAAAGGCGTGGCAGTTGATGTTAGGGTTTCCATGTTCCTTGACCATCAAAAGGATCTTGTCCCATTCTTCATGGAAGGTGATCTTGGAGCCTGCAACAACATCGATGGTGTGATGGCAGCCCTCAACATCGTTCATGATCCAGATGAGTGGAGACTCTTCATTGATTCATCGAAGATGAGTCTTAAAGCTGTGTTGCTGCATAATGGAAATGTTTTGCCATCAATTCCAGTTGGTCATACAGTCCATGTTAAGGCAACATATGACAACATGAAACTACATTTGAGGTGCATCAACTATGACCAACATTTTGATTTAAAGCTTTCGTGACTGCAGGGATTCATATTCTTGGTTCTTTCGGTAAAGTCACGTAGAAGGGAAATAAAATAATATAAATATAAAAAAAATTCTCACGACGTGAGAACAACATCAGTGGCAGCTTTGTGGCGATTTGAAGGTTGTTGCTCTCTTGGTCTGCAGACTGGATACACAGTACTGCTGTTTTCTCTGCGGACTAGCTGGACTACCCGGCTTCGCCCGGGACTTGTATCCACCACGGCCGGCCGCCTTTGTCTCCCCAGTGGCGATGTTAATACGCCACACCAGTTACTCGTTTGAGGCTGAGTCGACCTATGGGAGGTTCAAATAATCTTGACCGGTGGTGGCCATGAGCGGGAATCGAACTCGGTTCGCCGGGTTGGTAGCGCAGCGTAGCGTTAACCACTACACCCACCGCTCCTCACACACACAGACGCACAGACACACACACACACACAGACACACGCAGACACACACAGACAGACACAGACAGACACACAGACAGCACGCTAACCACTACACTACCGCTCCCCACACACGCACACACACAGACACACACACAGACACACAGACAGACACACACACACAGACACACAGACAGCACGCTAACCACTACACTACCGCTCCCCACACACCACACACGCACACACACAGACACACACACAGACACACACACAGACACACACACACACAGACACACACACAGACACACACACAGGCAGTACGCTAAGCACTACACTACCGTTACCCCTACACACCACACACGCACACACACAGACACACACACAGACACACAGACACACACACAGACACACACACACAGACACACACACACACAGACACACACACAGACACACACACACAGATACACAGACACACACACACAGGCAGCACGCTAAGCACTACACTACCGTTCCCCCTACACACCACACACGCACACACACAGACACACACACAGACACACACACACAGACACAGGCAGCACGCTAAGCACTACACTACCGTTCCCCCTACACAACACACGCGCACACACACAGACACACACACAGACACACACACACAGACACACAGACAGACACACACAGACACACACACAGACACACACACAGACACACACACACAGACAGCACGCTAACCACTACACTACCGCTCCCCACACACCACACACACAGACACACACACACAGGCAGCACGCTAAGCACTACACTACCGTTCCCCCTACACAACACACGCGCACACACACAGACACACACACAGACACACACACAGACACACAGACAGACACACACACAGACACACACACACAGACACACATACACAGACACACAGACACAGGCAGCACGCTAAGCACTACACTACCGTTCCCCCTACACAACACACGCGCGCGCGTCCATAGGTACACATGCACGCGCTTGCTGCAGACACACACATACACACACATACATACACACATACACACACATACATACACGCACATACACACAAACACATACACACACATACACACACATGTGTAAAGTAGGAGCCGACACCAGATTGCAGGGGTCTCGTCCTTTATTCTTTTCCTTCTCTCCACACCTGTCCCCCAGCCGTCCCAATCTCGTTCCCGCCAAAGGCCCCTTCTTCCCGCCCGTTCTCTCCTTATATCTCTTCGATCACCCCTCCCACTAACCCATCTATTGGTGGGAATCCTTCCCCTGACACCCCTACATCACCCCCCCCCCCGGAGAAAAAAATAACCGTCCTCGGTTCTGCCTCCCCCATGGACCATTTAAATCTCCCCATGCCTCCCCCCACTGACAGTGACGACAGCCCTTACCCCCCCCACAACCATACAATGCAACATAACACAACGAAATCAATTGCGCGGCCTGCCCAGGTCTCCAGCCAGCATCCCGTAACAGCCCGGACATCCACAGGCAGCAGATGACCGTGGCGGCCCCCTCCTTCGAAGGCCCTCTCGTCGCGGTCCCTGGTTCGGTGGTGCTGGTGTCGCCTTGCCCGGCGCCGCTGTCTCTCCGGCCCCCGCTCGTGCCGCCGCTCCGTCAGGCCTCACATGGGGTGCTGTAGGTGACAAGGGAACACAGGGCACCGAACCCCCTGCCGGTCGGTGCGTGGTGGTCGGCGACCTTGGCCTGGGTAGGGATGATGATGATGTTGGCAGTGATGTTGGTGGTGATGTTGGTGAAGATGACGGTGGAGAGATGTATGGCTTAAGGCGGGTGGGGTGTACAAACCATCGTCGCTTACCCAGTTGGACCTGGACGCACTGCGGTCGGAGTGCTTTAATGACCTCGACCGGCCCTTTCCAGGGTCGGTGCAGCTTTGGTGAGAGGCCAACCGGCACCTGAGGACAGTGTAGCCATGCCTGGTCCCCGACTTTGAAGGGCTTGGCTGTCACTGTCCTCTCCCGTATCCGTACATTACTCTCTTGGCTCGTGGCCGATGCGGCCTCGGCTGCTTGGCGGGCCTCTCTCAAATAAATGAGGGAGGTCTTTAGTGCCTTCGGCCATGCGTCGGCTCTTGCGGGAATGTCCGTCAACTGCACCTCAATAGGCGGAACGGGATCCCGTCCGTACATCAGGAAAAACGGCGAGAACCCCGTCGCCGCGTGTGGGGCCACCCTGTACGCCGCTAAGACAGATGGAATGTGGAGGTCCCAGTCGGAATGGTTTTCGTCCACCACTTGGGACAGCATGGCCGCTATGGTGCGGTTAAGCCGCTCTACCATCCCATCGGTCTGGGGATGATACGGAGATGTTCGGACCTTTTTAGTGCCCAGGATAGAGCAGACGTCCTTCAATAGCTGTGAGGAGAAATTCCTGCCCTGATCCGTGAGCAACCGCTCCGGTGCCCCCTTATCAAGGACATAGCCTCCCACGAAGGCATCGGCGATGGTCTGTGCCGTTTGGTCCGGGAGGGCCCACGCCATCGGCCATCTCGTGCAGTACTCGACTCCGACCAACAGGTATTTATTTCCCCGTGGCGTGACCGGCAGTGGTCCCAGGATGTCCAACGCAACCAATTCGTTGACCCTGGTCACCGTGATGGGCTGTAGGGGCGCCCGGCTTACCCGGGGTGGCGGCTTTCGCCGCGCACATTCGACGCAGGTAGCGACCCATCGATGCACATCAGCGGTCATACCTGGCCAAAAGTACCGACTCTGTAATGTGTACAGTGTCTTCCGCCCCGCCAGGTGCAGCAGCTGGCGGCCGTGTACGTCCATAACCAATTGTTGACGCAGCGACTCCGGAACTACCAGGCATCGTCGGCGCCCTGTCGGGTCCCATCGCATGAGGAGGTCCTCCCATACGATGTACTCCTCCCCCCCTGCCTCTGCTGAGGCGCGTAGCGTTCGCAGTGGGGCTTCCTCCAGCTGTAGCCGTCGCCAATCGTCCAAGGTCAGCCCCAGGTCGTGGTCGGTCAGCTGGACCTCACCCTGTGCGTCCTCCGCCGTGCGTACGGGAGCGATGACTGTCCCCTCCGGCCTCGCCTCCTTGCAGCGTGCCCCGCCTGTGGTGCATGCACAAGGGCCCTGGGGCGCCAGTCGGGACAATGCGTCTGCGTTGGCATGTCTGGTCCCTTTGCGATGCACTACTTGGTACCTGTACTCCTGCAGGCGCTCTATCCATCTGGCCAGCTGGCCCGAAGGCTGGTCGATGCGGAGCGAATACTGCAAGGCCGCGTGGTCAGTGCGGACCGTAAATTTGCGACCATACAGGTAGGGTCGAAATTGCTGCACGAAGTGAACGACTGCCAGGAGTTCCCTACGTGTGACGCAGTAGCGCTGCTCCGCTGATGAAAGCACGCGACTACCATAGGCGATAACCACCTCGCGACCCTGCTGGACTTGCGACAAAACACTGCCGATGCCCACATCGCTGGCGTCCGTGTCC